TTTTTTTTTAAATGGAAATAATCCTGACCGTAGATCACCGTGATCTACGGTCAGGATTGGACACCGCATGCAGAGATGCATGCGGTGTCCGCACGCAATAATCCCTCCAATGTGGATGGCCGCACAGCATTGTTTGCGCTATTTTGTTAAATAACATGTTGAATATTTTTCAGTTGAAAAATTATGGATCATTATGTGTTGATGTTTTCCTTTGATATTGACACTGCTCCTTAGAAATACTTTGGTTTGACTCATGCGTCGGAAGTCCCAAACCTTATTGGTACCGTTGAGGCTTCTGCAGTTCCATTCTCCAGCATTTCCGTTCTCAGGAAATATGGTAAAGAAGACATGGTTTACAAGATATTCTCTCGCAAAATAATGCATGACAGTCTACTCGATGAAATCTTTAGGTAAACCCCCAGTCCACTAATCATTTGCATTCAAGCATATTGTTATATTGATTTCTAATTTACAGTCCACAATCCTAACAGCATGAGGAAGGAAACAGTAAGGATAGACTGGCCAGCTTACCCTCACTTTAAAGCTCCAGAAGTATTTTCACCCATCATTCTAGATGAAAAGCATCTGTACTACATAAACTCTTTCGAGAATGCCGCAAGCACCATTGAGACCAGTATTGTTGCAGCTGAGAATGTTGCGCGCTTGGTCATCTCTAGGCTCTCAGATGAACATCAAAAAAATGCTAATAAAAAGTTTAACGCTGCAGATGGAGACTTATTGCACCTTGATTTATAAGAAAAAGGGGATGGAAGACACAAGTTTAACTCTCATATATATGAAAAAGCAACATCTTTATATTGCTGAATGTGCAGATTGGACCTTTGCATTTGAACACTTATATGTCAATTTTGTGCTGCAATCTGCCTTTACTGTCAATATGTTTACAGCACAAAGATTCAAATTCTTTGTTATGTAAGAAATTGAGAATTCCAAAATAATCTTATTTCATTTGGGTCTTTTTAGGTTCTGAATATTTCTAAACCTCTTGCCAGGCTTGTATACCGACAGAAAACAGTGCTGTTTGTGTTGGTTTATGGCAAAATAAATTGAGAATTGTAACAAGTATCTAATGGATGTGTTTGCCGATATAGCCAAGTGTTTGGAGGTTATTTAGATATATTTTTAAACAGTGCTGTTCATGTACAATATATTACTTGTTTTCTATAGCTAATTGTCATTATATATTATCACAATTTTAATCTTCAAAACATTCTTTACTTGTTAAAATTTAATTTTACATCAAGTTGCATCTAAAAATATTTAAAATTTACAGAGTTTTAAAATCAAAATAAGCCTAAATCCTCACCGCTTTTAGGCATATGTAAAAAATTGATAAGCATTAGACATAGGCTTCATTTTTTTTTTGTTTCACATCTAAAGAGTGTTCTGTAAGAATTATATTTCTTGAATTTAGAGCAAGCCTCTTGAATTTAATTTTGATAAAATAATGGAGGGCATTTAATAATACAATTAGCCATTTTTTAGGATATAGCTTTCGACTTTATATATATATATATATATATATATATAATAATAATAATAATAATAATAATTTATTTACAATTGTGTAATATGAGAATGTGGAATCTCATTTTGAAGGATTGGGGGAGCCTCACTATTATCTTCATTGAAGGTAAAGAGATTCAAAACCCATTGAAGAATAGACTTAAATAGAATTAGATTGAGTCTACTTAATGGCAAGGGAGTAAATTTATCATACCATGCAACAAAATATGACAATTTTATAAGGAATTATTACTTAAAAATAAGAAATAATATTTGTAACAAATTAATTATCACTTATGAGAAAATCTATGATATGATATTTTATTGTAAAAAAAATCAATTACTCAGAATGAAGCCTAGGGAGAACATTATGGATTTGTTTAGATGATTCAATAAAATCATCAATGGGCTCTTGCAATTGATAAAGATCATTCAATCAAAATTAGGTAAATATAATTTCACAATCATAATAAAAAATGTGGGATCCAGATGTAACAATTACTGCTAAGGATTAAAATTCTTAAACTATTGATCATTTGTACAAGTTTTTCATAATACATGAGTAGCAAATTAGTTTAAGAGAAGAAATGGAGGATAACATAAATGAAATGGAAAAAAAATATAGATTCAAATATCATGACCTGAGTGATTGTGAATCATCTCGTTCAGAAATTAATGATGATGATGTGACACTAAAAATATGCCAACTAGGTAGGATGTTTAGATAAAAATACTACATAAACAGATACAAAATTTAATAATAAATTATGGATAACTTAATAAAAAAAAACTTGAAAAGAAATAAATTTCAATTTATTTCAAGTGCAATAAGCTTCAAACTTTAGTTTGACTGCCTCTTAGGAAGTGAATAAAATTAAAATTGTTAAATTTAAAGTATTTAAAAGTATGTTATGATGATCTATAGCTATAGTATCAAGGTTTCTATTATGCTAACTTGCTTACAATTTAAATTATATAAACATATGTTAATAATAAGATTAAACATGTTATATTACATTAAGGACCATCCTTTGCTAACACTATTAATAAGGTAACAAACTTATACATATTTTAGGAATTTAAATTATGTGATTACTCTTAGACCTATAGATTTATTTCCTATGAACTTATTTATACATCTGATTCTCATTTTTGGTGGGAAAAGGTATGAATTGTCCACAATTAATGATTGCCCAAGAGTAACATGAGAGGTTTTCTTAGCTAACATGAGTGATGTAGTTACTATATTTATAAATAGATTCAAAATGATACATGTCTATCCATTTCTAAAATCAGGAATGTCCATGAAGGAGAATTTAAAAATGAGAGGCTTGAGTTTTTTTTCTAATTAACATGGAATTAAACATGATTTTTCAGCACTTGGGATGCCGCAATAGAAATCATTAGATATGAGTATAATATCATTTAGTTGATTTCAATTGTCTAATTATTATTAGCTAATTAAAACAATAAATATAACTTATTAAGCTATAAATATCTTCTACATTAGATCAATCATTAAGAAGATAACCCGTGAAATTTAACTAAAGAGCCTAATATATCATATTCCCATGAATTACAATGGACATATCTTATACTTAAGAATGAATAAAGCTTTGTTTATTGATTATAAAAATCATAAGAATGTCATAAAGTATCATTAAAATGTGTTAGTTTATAGAAGAGTTCAGAACAAGTTATTGTATCATAATATTAGACTTTAAGAGCATTTTTTTTAGTTATAATTATTCAAAGGTAAGCTTGATACCTAAAAAGATGACATGATAGTGATAAATATATGTAGATGAAAATTTCTTTAAAGCCACATAAGATTTACCGTCATAAAATTAAAATAACTTAGAGTAAGAAGTTTGAGATGAGTTTCGTGGTTGAGCTCACATATTTTTAGTTTTATATATAAAGCAAAAAAATTGATGAAATTTTTATATCACAACATAAATGTGATGATTTAATTTCAATATTTAAATTAGAACTATTTATGTGTCCTTCAGCATGCTTAATTTTCCTTACATTTAGCACATGTTTTTAATGAGATTAGACTTTAAAGAAGGGCATTTTCATGTTTATCTTACAGATATAACAAGTAGGAAACTGGAAGCTGATTGGAGCTGAAAAGAAGCTAAGCGGAGGCAATTGGAGCAAAAAAGTGTAGGCTGACGCCTAGGGACCACTTTTGGGCACCAAGGCCCTGCCTCTGATGCCTTGGTGCTAGTTTTGGGTGCCTAAGTACCAAAACACTACCAACAAATAGAGAGGACGACATCTAGAAGTTGTAGACTGGGCGCCAAGGCACTGACAACTTCTGGAGCAGTTTCAACACATTCTAGGGAGTTATTTGATGAATCCTAAAGGTTGTAAAGACACTTTTAGGCATTTTGCAAGTCTTGGAATTCTCCAGGAAGGCTGAGAGATTGTATATAAGAGTAGGAAATGTAGATTTTTATCTTTTTCAGAAAGATTGGAGATGACATTTTGAGTGAATTCTGTAAGGAAATTGTATCAGCATTGTAAGGAACAATATGATGTTTTGTTAGAGGGATTTATATCTTTCTTTCAAATGAGAAAAGTTAAGTATTGTGTTCTTTATTGTCATGTACTTGTTGTAAACACATATTTAGTGCATTTTCTTTGATTTAATGAAGTTTTTTGTAGTGTTCTTCATGCTTTGTGAGTAGATTTCCTTCTCTTGTGAAGTCTTCTATAAACACATATTTAGACTTACTCATCATAGAAAACTTAACAAGAGAAGGGCTTTTACTTATTCATGATAGTTTTCTGTAGTGTTCTTCATGCGATTGTGATGAATAAGCAAGATTTGCAGGATGTGTTGGATGCTTTTAGAATAGGTTTTCATTTATTAAAGTGATGGTTTTTTTACTTTGTGCTTAGTTTAATTATCATCTTGGCCAGATAAATTGTTAAAAGCAGTTGTAAACCCATAAGACTTGAATGAGCATATGACAGGAACAACTACAAAGAATAACGTTGAACTATAGGGTATGAAGCAAAAGTAACATTTAAGGAGATACAAAAGATAGAAAAATATGCTTTGAGGGAGTAAATTAGAGATTCTAGGATTACAGACTAGAATCCTAGCCATTTTGATCCAAGTGGTAAAGACTAAAACATAAGATTAGCTAAATTGAGGGCCCAAAATTAGAGAATCTAGCGTGACAGGCTAGAATTCTAATCAATTTATTTGAGACTTTAAGGAATTAACATTATGTTAATCAAGCTTCTTTATGCACTATATAGTGAATAAAGAAGAGGTTTTCTCTTATTTGACACTTACTACAGTTTCTATTACAATCATTTCTCTCCTACATATTATCTAAGTCATCACACGAGAAAGGTAGTTTTTACATCTCAAAATTTACCAAACCAATTGATCTAGTTAAGTTTAACTTTAGGCTTAGGATTATAATTTAGGAGTAGTTGTTAGAAAAACCATTTGAATTGACATTATAAACTAAGACTTGAATTTAGTAGACTAGAACTTAGCCTAAGGGATTTCTTACCCCACTTCTTTGTGAGATCGACAATTTAGACTCTTTTAGAGCCCTATATTACTGACACACACATATATGTTGGTCGTTAAACATGGGAAATTATATTTAAACTAATTTAATATATATAATTTTGAAAATTAGCATTTTAAAATTTCAAAATATGAGATCTAACTGATCTCATACAGATAATAGTTTAAATAAACAAGCTCAACACTACAAGTCATGCATCTATCCTGGGGAATAGACATGTTACTTGATAGTGAGGATCAATTAAATAAACTAAATGATTTATGACAACCGTTTTGGTTTGAGAAACCTTTATGTTGACCAACAAGTTCCCCTATCAAATACAAAAAAATTAGATAGGGTTTATATTAAGCTGGGATCCAAAGTTTCTTATAAGGCAAGCCCCTATAGTTAATTACATCTTAAATGATTGAAGTCACCTAAGAAAACTCTCGATTTAGATCAAAATTATTTGTCTTCATGAATCTCAAAGTTTAGGGATTTCAAGGTGGGACAAAGAAATATCAAATGGGAAAAGATAAAATAGAAATAATTATTTTTACAATCTAAAGAGAGAAAACTAAGGGATGTCACGACTCCTGAGGGGAACCTCAGTGACTTCCCAAGTTATCCTATGGTTTGACTTTAATTTTAAGGGAATCTTATTAGATGTTTCATCCTGCTAATTTTTATATTTAGGGCTTACACTTGCATAAAATGGTCATACAAAGAGCTTGAAAGATAGAAGGGTTTATGTTGTAACGAACGTCAACCTCAGAGCTTAAAGAGAGTTAGGGCATAAATTACACAACATGGTTGTGTAAAAACCTAAAAATAAGTTAAGGATTTATGTCGTGCAAGAAGAGCTACCTAGAAATACTATGGCTTGTTATTTAATTCTAAGGAAGGTTTGTTGTTGTAGACCTATTTGCTCTCTCGAAGTTGAACTTTCATACATCCTTGTGATGTTGCCCACAATGTTAGCTACAAACTCCTTGCTGTGACGGCTCCAGGCTCAAGGTTTCATAGTTTTGGAGTTTA